GCCGAACGCATCATTCAATCAGAGCTCCCTGACCTTCTGTCCATCTACACCAAGCGGTGCAAGACCAAAGCTAGGAAGATTATGATGGACCTCTCCCATCCCAACAATGGACTCTTCTCACTGTTGAGGTCTGGGAAGCGCTTCCGCTCCCTTAAGGCCAAAACAGAGAGAATGAGGAGGAGCTTCTTCCCCCAGGCTATTCAGGCCCTGAACCAGGTGTAGGACTGGACTCTCACACACATCACATCACCACACATCTCCTATAATTTACAATCTTTATAATCTCTTTCTGCTATTTACACATTTTTTACTGTAAATTCCTAAGTTAATTTGTAAATTTTGTAATAACCTGTAAATTGTAAATACTGTAAAACTTTTTCCTGTCATTTAATGGTCGGGCATTGTACAGCTACAAGCATTTCACCCCCATGTCATACTGTGTATGGTTGTGTGTGTGTGACAAATAAAATTTGAATTTGAATTTGAGATCAGATTTAGGCTGCTTTAACTCTTTATTTGTGGTGCAGTGTCAAGCCACGGGAATGAATCAATGAGCACAGGTCACATCAGTTTGTGGTGTTGTTTCCAAATTTAGAGTCAGGATGTTGGATCTGCAAAAGACTGATTGCCCTTACTCCCATATATCTTGGCTTGGATTTGTCAGTATAAGTAAACTGGTTTGGTAGTATACTAAGATAACAACACAACAGTGCATTCCAGAAATGTTCCTAGACTGAACTGTACAGTGTGTACTCATGTTTAGGCCTATTTGTGAGAACAGAAATTTGGCATGCTACTCTACTCTACAACTCTACTTGTGGGGATCAACAGTCACTTATGGGCACAAAATATGGATCCCCATGAGTTTGAAGGGATTCCTGAGGCACGAAATGTTGCTTTAGTGTCAGGGTTACAATTAGGTTAAAGTTAGGTTTAGGCATTCATTTTTGAAGGTTAGGATTAGCAGCTAGGGAAAGCATTATGTCAATGAGATATCCTCACTAAGATATGAAAATGAACATGTGTGTGTGTGTTTGTGTGTGTGTGTGTGTGTGCGTACAAGCTAGATTTCACCTGCTGAGGCAAACATAAGGAGGCAGAAGGAGAGTAAAGGCAGCCAGGTAGACGATGAAGCAGAAGCAGACATTTCCTCCTCATCTATCTCTGCTGATCCGACACTTAAAGATGCTGTAGATATCCAAAGGATGGTGCCATTTTCCGAGAGTAAGAGGCTTTAAATCTGCCTACATTACCCCAAAGTTATTGAACTGAAGTGAGCGTGATGACTGGTGTGTTTATTTTCAGCAGCTGGCTGTGTTTGCCTTTCAAGGAAGGTGGAGTTAATCTGTTTCAGAATGAAGAAAAACAAGGGTGGAGTTCTAAAAAACACAGGATCCTGTTTCAGAGCTGTTCATCTTTAAAAGAAAAAAGAGCTTTACATGAAAAACCTCATAGAAATTATGTGTCTTGTTACAGTATAAGACATATTCTGCTGGTTTAGAACACACATCCAATATAATATCAATACAAAAGCACCAAATCGCAACAACGGTTTCCTTTGGGATGCTCCATAATACAGAGAAAAAACACAACAATCAGAAGACCCCCTATGATCAAGCACTTGGCAACAAAGGGAAGGAAAATCTCCCTTTTAACAGTAAGAGACCTCCAGCAGAACCAGGCTCAGGGAGGGGCTGTGACCAGTTGAGGGTGAGGGGAGAAAGACAGGATAAAATACATGATGTGGAAAAGATCTAGAGATTGATAGCAAGTATGATTTAATGCAGAGAGGACAATTAACAAATAGTGAGTGAAAAAGGTGACTGAAGAAAAAATACTCAGTGCATCATGGGAATCCCCCGGCAGCCTATTGCAGCATAACTAAGGGAGGATTCAGGGTCACCTGGTTCAGCCCTAACTATATGCTTTAGCAAAGAGGAAAGTTTTAAGTAGAGATAGTGTCTGTCTCCCGAATCCAAACTGGAAGCTGGTTCCACAGAAGAGGGGCCTGAAAACTGAAGGCTCTCCCTCCCATTCTACTTTTAAATACTCTAGGAACAACAAGTAGGCCTGCAGAGCGAGAGCGAAGTGCTCTAATAGGGTGATATGGTACTACAAGGTCATTAAGATAAGATGGGGCCTGATTATTTAAGACCTTGTATTTGAGGAGCAGGATTTGAATTTAATTCTGGATTTAACAGGAAGCCAATGAAGGGAAGCCAAAACAGGAGAAATCTGCTCTCTCTTTCTAGTCCCTGTCAGGACTCAGCCTTAAAATCTGTTTCCTGGTGGCCTGTTGTTGGTTTTGGACATACTGCTTTTTAATCACACCAAAATAGAAACTAATCGAGTGAGGAAAGGAGATCGGTCACATAGGGTGTTGTATCAGACAGATTTATGGAACAGAAAACATCAACAAACAAAGAAGCTAAGAGTCATTATTACACAATGGCAGGAAGGAGAGCACCAAGCTGAACAGCAGCAGATTATACAGCGTGAGAATGCCGGGTCCCAGACCTGGAAACATGCCCCGCCCACCAGGACAGTGAAACACATTCAGAGGGTCAGTGACTGTGACCATTTCTATTGCAGATATAAGAAACACACCTCACACATTGTTTCCTGGTCATTTTGGTGAGATAATGTCTGACTCTGGCTGTGTTTTACCCTGAAGTTACACTAACGGTGTGCTGTGGGTTCTCTGGGACGTGTCCAGCAGGATTTCACAACATGCAGGCTGAACACACACACTTTAGCCCGAGGTTGGGATGTGGTTTGATGTTGTTCATCTAAACACTTTCTCATCAGAAGTCAGTGGTTGAAACAATCATGTCCTGCTATTAAATACAGAGAGACACAACCTGTTTCTGTAAATCTCGCACAGGATTAATCAAATCAGTACTTCTATTAATATCATCATAATTTTATTTATTTTTTAACAAAAGAGCCACACACACACAAACTACCCTCAGAGGCAATAGGATAGTAAATGACAGCATCACACATGTGCTTGTGTTGCCTTCAGGTTCTGTAGGTTTTAGAATTTATTGATGCCAAAAACAGAACCTTTCTCATGATGTTCAATGGAGAGAGAACCACAACACTGCCAGCCAGTCAAAGTGAAAGGAGAAGAGAAAGAGCAGCGATTTACTCAAAGCGACTGTGAACTGAGTGTTGGTTTGATATCACTGAGCAGTAGGATGGAGGAAATGTCTCTGCTGTGTCTGCTCTGTAAGTTCACTCTGTGTTTTTAATACCTCTGCTGTCTTATTCAATGTAAAAACTGAGTTTAATTGTGTTAAGTTTAATTTCTCTGTAGTTCTGATCTCACTGCTGAGCTGCACCACAAACCAAGGTCAGTAACCTTCTTCTGTCACACTGTAAACCTGACTCACTCTCTCAGGAGGCTGTGGGACACATTTATTAAGAACATGTGTTAATTTACTCCTGCTGACTCTGTTAATTAAATGAAACTCATATACATGTCTGACTTCAAGACTTCTGCTTCTTAATGAAAATTCTCATTTAAGAAAATATACTAAGAGACATTAAAAGCTCAACATACAAATAAATATAGAAAAAGTAAATAAACAGGGATTAGTAGCTTCCATACTCCATTAGAACATTTCTTTAATTTGATTTTTAATATATCTTATTAAATATAACTATATGTAAACACAAGATTGTTGTGGGTTTTTTAATTACTTTCATTATAATATCTGTTTTAATGTCATGCAGTGACAGCTGGTAATGAATGGAAACAGGAAATATGGGGTTAAAAGTTAACCTCTGAAAATCAACAGGGGAATGGCAGCAGGTGTTTTATAAATGCAGCAGTTATTGAAAAAAGCCATCACTTCACTTTTGTGTGTATGTCTGTCCTAGTGAATGATTCATAACACTGCAGGTCAACAGGAGTCACAAAGTGTCATGAATTCAGTTGTTGTGAAAGGTGTCTGATTGCTACAAAAATGTACATAATGTGCTGTATATCCTCTTTTCTTCTTCTTCTTCCTCACAGCTCGTCTGACTGTGAGTCCCAGCAGCTCTCAGTTCTTTGAAGGAGACTTTGTGTCTCTGAGCTGTGAGGAGGACGACAGCTCTGCTGGATGGACTCTGAGGAGAAACACAAGCAAACAGAGGACTCAGTGTGGAGATGGGTGGGGAAAATGGTCTGGTTCTTCATGTACCATTATTTCTTTCTCCTTGGACAGTGGGGTTTACTGGTGTGAGTCCAGAGAGCGTCCCATCAGTAACATGGTTAACCTGACAGTCACTGGTAAGCTGAGTGTGTGGAGTTAGTGTTGATGAAGCTGTGTGTAAATGGATGAAATGCTGTAGTTTGTCTCTGTGTTGAGGTGGATCAGTGATCCTGCAGAGTCCTGTCCTTCCTGTGATGGAGGGAGATGACGTCACTCTGCTCTGTAAAACAAAGACCACTCCCTCCAACCTCCCAGCTGCTTTCTATAAAGATAGCTCCCTCATCAGGAAGCAGCCTACAGGTCACATGACCATCCAGCATGTTTCCAGGTCTGATGAAGGCCTCTACAAGTGTGACATCAGCGGTCATGGAGAGTCTCCATCCAGCTGGATCACTGTCACAGGTGAGGAGCTTCACTCTGATTTCACCTCTTATGTCATCCACATATTCACCCGAACAGGAGCGATTCTCTCCGCAGGTGAAACTCCAATTATCCACTGAGCTCCGCTCCGGTATCTCTCCTGCATTTTGACTTTACAACAATGGGCTAACTGGTGTTGTTCTGTCTATACTGACCTATTAATCAGTAATCAATATCTGCCTCCAGTGATAAAAACATCCACCGGTGGTGAGCAGGGATTGGACAAGGAGGTTGATGATGTCACCCCAGAGCATCACAGAGCAGTTATGAACTGAATCAAACCAGCGCTGTGTGTTTATCAGTTGTTTCCACTTTGTTTTTGTTTACAAGTTTTCTGGACCAGTTCATAAACTTTTGACTTACATATATCCTCTGTTCTCAGGAAGAATTTATCATGATTCATGACCACGTCCCAAATTTGTTAAAATATTTAGCTCCTCCCATTAGTGTGTCTGGTTGTGTGTGCGGCGCTCTTTGCTGTTTGTTCTTAGCTAAAAATTAATCGTTTTTGTAAATAAAACACTTAACCATTGTACATTCTGAGTGTTTTGCATAAATTCAAGTAGGAGTCAGAAGACAGCTATATTATTTATTTATTTGTTTTAATTAAAAAAAAATTTCTCCTCATTTTCATTGTTTAGGAGTAGCAGAGGGCCAAGCAAGGCTGTTTATTCATCTTTAGCTTAAATCTATAGGAAAGAACACGTCAAGTCACACACATGACATTTTAGAGAGTAATATTTTGCTTATGTTATCATGTTCTGTTGGCATAGACTGCTTCTGTTTTTGCTTGGGAAATCAATTCAATTTTAAATGCCTCTAAAATGATGGGGTACTGAATTTTTTTGTTTCATTTGTTTAACTATAGTCACCTGGAACACTTTGGACAAATACAGATGATTAAGTAAAGACTGTGACTGGATAGAAGAACATCAATGACTGACGTATGCCAACTGTGATTTTTGTCTTTTCTCAATTTGTGTGATCACAATGAAGGTCCTCACATAATTTAGCTTCCAGGTGGGAAAACAGCTCTTGTAATCAAGTTTAAACTGAAGTAACAAACACACCATGTTTGGATCTTTTTGAAAGTAAAATTTCATAAATTATTGAATGCTTCTCATTGCTAAATTAGAGGGAGGGAAACATGACTCCCTCCAATGCTATAAACTCACTGAGACATCTTTCAGGAGCAGATTCAGGAGCACACACACAAAAAAAAAAAAAAAAAAACCCATCAACACAAGAAACATATTTTTGATCTTTGAGTTCCAAAGCCTGACTTCTAAAAAATAAAAAAGGAATAAAGATCATTGAAACAGGCCTCAAACTCCAAATTGTGCTGTACCAAACAAATTCTAAAAAGCACCACAAGATGGCACTCCAACACAAGGAATGAAATTATACCTGCTCATGCAGGTCAGCGATCAGGTCCTCCAAATAACCTCTGTGCACTGGGAATACGGCTCCATAACGCCTCTGCTTAACAGTCACACAATTCAATGTTCTTGTTTTTGTATCCAGCTCTGAGGTCAGTTTTAACATTTTGGCAATCAGCTGTTCAATCTGTTTCACACCTACACACACATAATTTCATTTGGGATTTTCATAATAAAATTATCTGTGTGTTAGCCATTGTGTTTTTTTATTGTACTCCTTATTAGTTTACTTTAATCTGTATTTGTGACAGAAAGGACCTGAGGCACATAACACTGCAGGCACGTGAATATTTTTATGTACAGTGTGTTCACTCTGACTTCTAGCTTTCCAGCAGCCTCCAGTGCAGCACAGCTCAGCATCCTGCTCAAATAGGGCGGCATGATTACATGATGGAGGTCACCTGTGTTGGTCACCCTGCAGCTGAGCCACAAACCACCACAGTAAATTAACTTAATTGATAAAACATACAAAAATAAACTTTTATCAAATTACAAAAATTTGATGGCCTTTTCATTTAAGCACCTCCCACTAACACACCCACTGTTCCCAGCACTGCAGAAGCCACCAGGCTTGAAACAAAACTCCAGCACACAGAAACATAGGTTTACATGGGTTTTCTGTTATTCATGTAATAACTGTTTGTAGATGCAGAAGGTTCATTCACACATCTACTTCCTGAACATTGCCATTTTCTTTGGATCGATTCCAGATCAGACTAAAGCTGCACACACTGATTTGAGAGGTCAGAGTTTTCTTTTCCTCTCAAGACTCATTTCACTCTGTGATCAATAAGGTTTTTCTTATTGTCTTTCTGCTAAGAACTGAAAAAGAAATACAAAACACTGATACATCTTAAAACTTTATTTATAAAAACATGTTTCTAAACATGTTTTTGACAGTCACCAACAGTTTTGATTTGGGGCAAACAGTCACTACTTCTACTCCTTGTATCTCTCTGTCATTCACTCACATGTATTCTGTGTTGTTTATACTGACTTTCATTCGTCTTCTCACCAGTGCATAACTCCACTTGCTCCCTACTCTCACTACAGTGTTTGCAAAGTCATTTCACAACAATCTTCTGAATTTACAATTAACTTGAATTACAGAGAAATAATAAGGCAGTGCACGTTGGTAAAGACACCGACAGAATGTTTTGTTGATCCAAAAACCAACAACACCACTAACAGCAAAAACTGAAAGACCAACTATGAGTCCAACAGATCTACCGTTTAGGGTTGGGCGATTGGACGAATATATCGACTATCCCATCATCGATAGTTTTTACAAGTGCGATTTATTTATTTATTTGCCCATGAGTACGTTTGCTAATAATGATGGAGCTAACAGAAGCAGTCAACAGAAATATAAAATCAAAGCGCTGTTTTAACAGGACCCTCTTTCATCTGCAAGCAAATGCTCCCTCCTCAGAGTGCGCCCAAATGCAACGAGTCATTTACTCAAACTCATAACAGAAAGGCAGTAGCCTCAGAAAAAAAACAGTTGGATGGTGGACACGTACAAGTTAGTCATGTTTGAGTCCTTTGCTCTCACTATACGTCTGCACAAGCGGCAAACCGCTTTAGTTACATCTTTTGGTTTACCGCTTTCATCTGGTTTAAAGCCAAAGAAATCCCAAACTGGCTACTTTTTTTTGGCAATTAGTTTGTGTTTGGACTTTTTCTGTGTTGTAAATGCGCAAATCAGACTGTGCATGATTACAGCCGTGTCCAAATTAATAGGCTGGGTTTGAAAACGATGCTTCGGGAGTTTGCTGTTCTCGCCGGCTCTAGTGACCCTTGAACCCCGGCTAGCTATCAGGCTGTTGGGTAACAGACATTTAATGTGTGATGTCTTGATAAACCAAGCAGATATTTAAAGTTTACACAGCTACATTCTTGCCTGAAAATATCTTAAAATTTTAGTTTGTGACCCAGAAAGAGTAATAAGAGTTATATTAAAAATAAGTAGCTGCCGCCATTGTTGGAAACTGGGCCGTGCTATGAAGTCAGGGATATGGTGGGCCACGCCCATCAAAAAGTCTGTGCATGCACGAATGTATCACCCACTGTTGGTTATTGGACTTATGATTGCCAGTTGAATTTTTTTTACATATCACCCAACCATTCTACTATTCTCTCCCCCATCCTCCACTTTAACTCTTTTATACACAGTTTACTTTTGCATTGTTACCTGTATCTATCCTCAGAACATCAGTCACTCTGAGTGTTAAACGTAATGATAAAAACCTGGAACAGCAGCAGGACTCACAGGTCAGCTATGAAGATATTTCCATCTGCCGTCCTTGTTCAGAAGGAGACTTGTACTTTGAATTCCTACATATTGTGTAGATCACAAAACCAACAGCAGCAACAAGAAGCACAGCAGAAACTGACAGACCAGCTCTCAGTCCAACAAATCCAATCTTCTTCCCTCCATCATCTGTGTGTCCTCCTTGTTGACCTGCAGGTGAGAAACAGGTGTGAGGTGTCAGCTGTCAGGTAGGTGATGAGTGAAGAACAGAACAGAATCCATTTGCTTTTCAAACTGCTGTCAGACATTATCTACTGCACTCTGATCACATCACTCAGACCAGCTGCTTTCTACAAAGTCTCATCAACAACATCTTTAGAAACAAACATCAACAACCAGGAAGCAGCTTCACCTCTGATCACACACACACTCAACTCTACTCACTCACCTGGAGGATCTTCTACCTTCAGGCTGATGCTGTTCAAAGGCTGAGCTGCCTGATTGTTGTATGCTGCATAACATTTATATGTTCCAGAATCGTTCAAGGTGACATTCTTGAGAATCACTGAGAAGTTTCCATTCGTCATCCATTTTGAATCCTTCAGCTTCACTCGACCTTTAAACAAGTCATGCTGGAGGTCTTTCTGCAAATGACCATCTTTTAAGTAAATGACATAATCATTTGTCTGCAGGTCAGGTTTGGTCCACCTTAACATTATTTCAGTAGCCTCACTGGGACCGTAACACTCCAGAGTGGCATTTTCTCCTCGTCTGACTTTGAGCTCTTTTTGGCCTACAGAAGGAAAAGATGAGAAAAAAAAAGGAAGAAAAATCAGTCATACAGTTCTAACAAAATATTTAATTTCAATACAATAATTCAAACTGTCTTCTTGCTTTAAACTGAACATATCACAAAACAGATGATAAGATGATGGAAAAAGAAAAATATGTATGAGATTTGATAAGTGAATAACAAAGCTTTACTTTACTTTTAAAGCAGTGATGATATATGTTTCTGTCTTTAGATGATGAAAAAAAAATGTCTAACCTTTAAAAACTAATGTTTTGCTTTAAATCTAGAGACATTTTTGAAAATTAACTCTAAACATGTTGTTGCTTATGTAAATAAATATAAAATGCATATTAAAAATGGTCTACACTTAAAATGTACCTTTTAACTAGTGATGTGTCCTGCAACACAGACGCACCGACGCTTGTATCAAGCTCACCTAGCGATGCCTGTATCGGTGCCTGCGTCGCTTTAAGAAAAAGTCACGTGATCGATACAGCCGCTGTATCGCTCATTGGCAACGCGCCAAACTGTGTTTAAAAGGTACCGCATCTGCATCTATCAACGAAATGAGTCGCAACCAAAAAAAAACAAACAAACAAAAAAAAAAACAACACAAAATTACTCTCGCAAAGATTAAAAAACAAATACAAAACACATCTCTCCATATCAAAATGGAGCCCGAAAGAAAAAGAAATGTTTCTGCTGTGTGGGATCATGTTGATCTTTTAACTGCAAATAAGGTAATAGTTTGTCTGTCTTTGTTTCAGTGTAATCTATCAGAACAGTAATGTGACTTGCAGTGTAAATTATTTATTTCATTTTATGCAGGTTAAATGTTGCATCTGTTCTGCATTTCTTACACAAACAAAAGCACCTCCTCAGTGTTTAGGCATTACAGAGCCAAACATGAAAATGAGGAGACAAACACACCGAGAATGAACACTGGTAGATATTAAATTAATATGTGTTTTATTATTTTCATCTAGGAAGACTGCTCTGGACCAGGCAGTCCTGAATTTTATTATAAAGGACTGCCAACCCCTTAGTATTGTGGAGAGAGAGTGTAACGTACTGAGGGAATAGGAAGACCTCTTATCAGAACCTTATCCACCTGGCTTTACAGCTTTTGTGTTCCCCAGCTTCATCTGTTCCTGTGAGTTTTCCAAAGCTGGGGAAATGGTGTAAAAAAACAAAAAAAACCCACAATAGACTGAATGCAAAAACATTGGATAAACCTATTTTTCTGAATAGAAATTTATAATAAACTCTGAGTCAAATGGGTAATATTACATTCACAATACTTTCATTTTTATTTTCACTTAATGTCATTCATAATATATTTTAAAGATGTCTACAATATGTGTAATATAGAAGATATAAAATGATTCCATGGAAAGTACAATACTTTACAGTGTACAAGTATGACTAGGTCATTGAATCAGTGTCTGTTGTGAGTCTCAAGTAAGTTGCCTGCAATGATATTTAAGGTCCAGCAGGTGTCAGTATGGAGCAAAACAGCAAAACTGTGTCGACACAGTATTGATACAGTTTGGGGAATGTGCTGAAACGCTTTAGGAGGCCTCATCTACCCATCACTACTTTTAACACAGTCATACAGTGCTTTCAGGTGTTTTCACAGATACAGGATGGAGCCATGACATCAAGTTAAAATTCGGTTTGTTGAACAGTGCTCGCCTAAACTGAACCATGTGATTTATGAACCATAATGAGATTAACATTTGTTTGAGTTTTTAAAAAATCAAACAAATGAAAAGTCTGTATGTTTGACTGAGTCCATGTAGTGGTCGATGTAACCTCTTCTATTTATAGACAGCATTTAAAAAATTTAGATGTAGCCACTGTGATGCACCCATTTGTTTTTAATGTGGGTTTTTTTGTTTTGCTTTTGTTTTTTTTACTGATAATTGTATTAAAAACAAAATTTCCTCTTGCTTGAAAATCCAGGAAGGACTAATAAAATAATGTCTGCACAGATTTGAATCCCTGACAGGATGAATATCAAACAGCTCAATAATGAAAGGAAGTTTATAAAATGTATTTATATTCACGAGCACAAGTCACAAAGTGCTATACAACAACAAAAACACAACATCAATAGAGAATGCAGCAAATGCCCTACCTATGGAAACAGAGACATCTGAAATACCATAGAACAAGCATAAGCTTTAGTTACACCTTTGTGTACAGTGGAGAGCCAAGAGCCAAGTAGTCATTTCTCTTAAGGTCCCATTATATTCACTGCAGTGGACACCAGTGTGCTGAGCAAAAACAGCAATGAACATTATTGTCTGGAGTCACACCCACAATGTAACCACCATCCCAGCCCACAACACCTACAGTCAGTTTGGATTTTTGGACTCATGTGGGTTCTCGTCACCATTCTGTTTTGACTCTTTTAATTTGGGTGACACTGATGGGTGTGAGGGTGTCGAATACATGGAAAGACTAACTGAAAGCAGCTGCAGTAAAGGTCTGGCAGGGCATTAAAAAAGGAACAAACCCAGCATGTGGTGATGTCCATGGCTTCAAGACTTCAGGCTGTCATTGCTAGCAAAGGGGTTTCAACCAAGTATTAGAAATGAACATTTTATTTCCAGTTATTTAATTTGTCCAATTACTTTTGAGGCCCTGAAATGAAGGGATTGTGTTCAAAATACTTTAGTTCCTCACACTTTTATGCAATACTTTTTGTTCAGCACAGTGAATTAAAGCTGAAAGTCTGCACTTCAACTGCATCTGAGTCATGCCATTCAAAATTCATTGTGGTAATGTACAGAACCAAAATTAGAAACAAATTGTCTCTGTCCAAATAATCATGGATCTAACTGGCAGTCAGTTTGCAACAGTTTCAGCTACAAGAGCAGAACACTTCTGTTTATTTCTGCTTACTTCCTTAATTCTTGCTTGGTTATTTGGTTTCTGGGTTTCACTGTGGTGTACTCTCATCAACTCTTTTTGAAGAGAGAAAGAGTGGTGGAATGGCAGAGAGGGACAGGGGGAAACTCAACTGGTCAGGAGGGCCTGCTCTGTGCTGGACTGTCCACTGAAGTCCATCGAGCAGGTTGGGGAGGAGAGGATGTTGTCTAAGCTAACAGCCATCATGGCCAACACCTCCCACTCCCTGCATGAGACTGTAGGAGCACTGAGCAGCTCAATCAGCAGTAGACTTTTACACCCACAGTGTAGGAAGGAGCGCTACCGCAGGTCATTCTGACCAGCAGCTGTCAGACTCTATAACACAGTTTAACACTTTTTGGTTATCTTACTCATCAAATGCTGCTACTGATCTGCAGCTTGTTTGTACACGGTGTATTTCATAAGGGTCATTCACACTCCCCACACTTGCGTACATATCCCTGTACAATTTATACATATCTCTGTATGTTTTTTTTCCCATTCGAATTTCTG